CATGTGGAACACAGATTAGTCCTGCCACTTTAAGAAGTTACTCCTAATGTCAGCTCGTTAGGTGTATAAGACATCTGTATACACAATCTGTATCTTCCATTCCAACCTCTCCCACCACCATGGGCAAGACCAAAGAGCTGTCAAACGATTTCAGAGACAAGATTGTAGATCTGCACAAGGCTTGAATGGGTTACAAGACCATCAGCAAGAAGCTTGGTGAGGAGGAGACAACTGTCGGTGTGATTATTTGGAAATGGAAGAAATACAAAATAACCATCAACCGGCCTCGGTCTGGAGCTCCGTGCAAGATCTCGCCTCATGGGGTAAGGATGATCATGAGAAAGGTGAGGGATCAGCCCCGAACTACACGGGTTAAATAGAATTGCACTTCTAAAAAGAGACTAAAATACAATTTTCATTGACTAAAACTAGACTAAATGTCATCAGTTTTCGTCGACTAAAACTAGACGAAAATAGTTATGGATAATTCTGACTAAAATGCTCAGACTTTTAGTTGACTAAAACTTGACTAGACTAAAAAGAGTATGAACGTGACTAAAACTAATAAAAACTAAAATGACAGCTTCACACAAAGACTAGACTAAAACTAAAATTAAAACAGGCCGCCAAAAACAACACTAACCCCAAGAACACCATCCCTACAGTCAAGCACGGAGGTGGAAACATTATGCTTTGGGGCTGTTTTTCTGCTAAGGGTACAGGAGGACTTCACCGCATTGAGGGGCAAATGGAAAGGACATGTACTGTAAAATCCTGAACGAGAACCTCCTTCTCTTAGCCAGAACACTGAAGATGGGTCTTCCAGCATGACAATGATCCCAAGGCAACAAAGGAGTGGCTCAAGAAGAAGCACATTAAGGTCATGGAGTGGCCTAGCCAGTCTCCAGACCTCAATCCTACAGAAAATCTGTGGAGGGAGCTGAAACTTCGAGTTGCCAAATGACAGCCAAGAAACCTTAAAGGGGTCATAGGATGCCCATTTTCCACAAGTTGATAAGATTCTTTAGGGCCTTAATGAAAAGTCTGTAACATAGTTTGGTTAAAATTATCTCAATGGTAGTGTAAAAAACACCTTTTTTACATTTTCAAAAACAGCTCTTTTCAGAGCATGCAGATTTGTAGCATTTTCCTTTAAATGTTAATGAGCTCTGCTGACCCAGCCCCTCTCTTCCGAGCCACTCTCAGAGAGACGGTTTACTTTATTCATCGTGAAACTTGCTAATTAGCACATTATTAGGAAAGGCGATTTGCAAAGATTCATTAAAAAACCTGGCTGGAAGCTGGATCACAAATGATTCGCGCGAGCATAGACGCATTTAGGTAGATTGGGGGTACATTCCCTTCAAAAACAAACGTAATCCACTGTGTCTTTAGCGGCTCAGATGTCGGGAGTAAATGACGACTGCTATGTTCATTATGGCAATTTGCAAAGATTCATTAAAAAAAAAACCTTATACTCACTTCTTCTGTAGGTGTGGCTGGATCATGAATGATTTGCGCGAACATAGACGCATTTATAGATCGGGGGAGCATTCCCTTCAGAAACAAACATAATCCACTGCGTCTTCAGCAGCTCAGATGTCGGGAGTAAATGACGACTGCTATGTTCATTATTACATCCAACAACAGAACACCTCAATCGCTTAGGAGTCATTCTTGTCTGCATCTGCTCCGGCGGTGAAACAATGGTGGACTGATGACAGCTCACTCAGGGCGGGTCTGAGGTAAGACGCCAGTCCAGTCTGTGCTGAAACGCTACTGTCAATCAAACTATCGTGGGAGGGGCCTGTCTGTGTGACGTCAAACAGACAGGCATCTGAGATCCACTCGATTTGAGAAAGGGGTAAAGATTTTAGTAGATTAACAAAAAACCACTGGGTGGATTATCATTTTAGGGTGGTTGTGTACACACACTGCCAACACACATTTCATGTCTTCATGTGCAAACCTGCTGACCAACTACAAAAGACGTCTTACCTCTGTGCTTGCCAACAAGGGTTTCTGCACCAAGTACTAAGTCATGTTTTGCTTGGGGATCAAATACTTATTTCGCTCACTGAAATGCAAATCAATTTCTAACTTTTATAATGTGTTTTTTTTTCTGGATTTTTTTGGTTGGTATTCTGTCTCTATACGTTAAAATAAACCTACCATAAAAATTACAGACCCTTCGTTTCTTTGTAAGTGGGCAAACTTACAAAATCAGCAGGGGATCAAATAAATAATTTTCCCCACTGTGAAGAGTTTAGATGCAAATATAAATATCCAATTTTTTTCTGTTCCAGGTAAATGAACATTTTATTTCAGTTTATGCTTCAGTAAACAATGTTTACCAGTGCATTACTACTTTAAATTGATTGAAAAAAGCAAAACATGATGCTAAGCTCACCAAGATCAGCATAACTGGTCTTGCAGAACTGCCTCCTGCCTCCAAAGCACAGGTCAAATGGAAGCTCATTCTGCTCCCTCAGCTTGCTTCCATTCTCAATAGCATCAAATGCATCCTTCTTATTGTAGTATGTAACAAAGCTGTAGTTGTCCCTGAAATAACATGTGTTAGCAATATTCTTTTTTAGTGCAAGCAATATACCAAATAAATAAAATTTAAAGTAGCCATACCCATTTTCTCTAAAGTGCACAGTGCACTCCTCAATCTCTCCGAAGAATGAGAAGCGTTCCTTCAGCTCTTTACGAGTCATGCTTCCACAAATTTGTCCAACATAAACAACTCTCCGCTCCTCCTACATAACACATTTCAATTTATACGTTAGCAATCACCAAGGTGCCTATGAGAAAAATCAAAAAGACATCTTTCTTCGATTAAAATACTTACAATGGCTCTCTCTTTGCATCTTTTTGCATCCTCGTTGCAATTTTGCGAATGCCGGTAACCAGCCCTCTGATTAGGGCTAAAAATTAAGTCAAAACATATCAGGGTTATTATAGTTAACTAAAACATAACCACAAAAAACCTTTGTTACTTGAAATAAAATACACAATATCTAAAAAAAAAAAAAAAGTAAACTATTTCAGCAAGTTGCAAAAGTAACAGTTCTCATTTTAATTTAGTTTTAAAGGGGTCATATGATGCTGCTAAAAAGAACATTATTTTGTGTATTTGGTGTATTTGCGGAATTATCTTCCTTGCATGGGTTGTACTCTGGCAAGGCTCCAGCGCGGATGAATCTAATGTTTTGAGGAGTATGTGTGTGTGGCAGTCAGTCACCGCACCGGTGTGAATCCTATACTTAGCAATCACAGATTCTAGCGTACGTCTCGGAATATGACCCAAATAAGAATTTTCACCGGATATTGTCATCTGAACAAGTAAGTAACAAGTCTGCCACGTTCTGTACAGTCTAATTTCTAATTGTCATACCATTCGAATTTCATACCAAGAAATTCTTTTAACCCAAAAAGCAAACTATGCTCCCTTCGAACTGGTTGTCTTTAAAGTACAAATCTTGTGTAATCCCAGGCTATCTGTAATCAGAAGCTCATTTAAAACTGGAATATAATTTAATTTCATTCACAAGTGTTTCATATAATCCTTTCTGGATTACAATCCACCATCAAAATTATTTTTTGACATTTAATTATTATAGCTGCTGTGAGAAAAGGCTAACTATCGGCCACCTGCAGGATCCTCACATGCGGTAGCCTAGTAGCCGGGACAACTTCATGTTTACATAAGTGACATAATGACGCAGTGCCATGCTCGAATTTCCCGCGAAAACCTACCCGTACCACTCAAATTAGAAAACATTATTATAAGCTAACCGTTGTGAATCGGGCTAAAGTAAGGCGATAGTTTTGAACACTGGCTGGTTATGTACTTGCTCAAATATTGATTTTAGATAATTTTTAACCAAAAAAAGTTACGGACTGCAGCTTTAACTAAAATAAATGTAAAAAAAAAACTAAAAATGAGCAACAGATCTATTAAAACTTTAAAATTAAAAAGAAAATGGAAAATAAAAATGAATACAAAACATTAAAAACTATAACAGCATCTCTACGAAATGAACACAAACTCACCTTCTATGACTTTTCCAACGCCGATGTCCGAGAGAATCAGAGGAGCGGGATCTGGATCGAGAGCGGCTGCGGCTCCAGGATCCAGAGCGTGAACTTGAATATGAATACCATCGCCGCTGAGGTGGGGAAAATGACCTTGAGCTGGATCGGGAACCAGACTGAGATGATGAACTGGATCTGCAGCTTGAGTGACGTGACCTGTATCTGTAAAATGTAAAAATACACATTTGCCAACATCCTCTAGATTGATGTGCTTTCAACATTCCTTTATAATTATTATAAATGTGTATAACCACATCAAAGCTGACCTTTTCCGAGGTGGTGAACGTGATCTGGAGGAAGACTCGGAGCTGGATTCTAAGCTACTAGAGGATTGGGCTCTGTATCTTCGTTTTGAACGGCCTCTGTCCTGCTGGTACCGTCTGAAGGAATGTTCTGAGTAGTTTACAGATTTCTGCTGGTTGCATTTCGCTTCATCCAGTACAGAGCTTTCAGAGTCAGGCCTGTTTGGAGAGGCATCCGGAGTTACCAAGTTAGAGCTATTTAATGTACAACTCCTATCTGCAGAAGGTTGACTGAGGCTGAGATTTCTCTGGGTTCCTTCTGTAACTGAAGGAGTTGATGTAGCTTTGGTGTTATGGGCTAGCTTGTTGGGCGGCAGCTCAACAGTCTTGATAACAATGCTAGGCTGTTGTTTGACATTCCACCGACTGCCAACTTCATTTTGACTGGGTTCTTTTGGGGGGAGGCAGTAGTCGTGGTCAAGGGAGAAAGGCTGAGTCTGTCCAGTAATAATAGGGGTCTGAGGCTTGCTGCGCAGCTTATTTGAAGGTAGTGGTCTCGCCTCTATCTGAATGGCCTTGTTAGGAGTTGGTTTAAGGACCTCTGACTTCTTGGTTTTCCCCAGAAGTGAAACTGGCACAATAGGCTTCCACATCTGGTGTGGGGGTGTGGCAGGAGGTGTAAGGCCTATGGGAAAAGTCAGTTGAATGGAGTTTACTTTTATTCAAAGAAATGATAAAGGCTTAAAAAAATATACAGTGGCCCCAAAATTGATTTGATTTAAATGTATGAATTTGTTTGCATTATATAATAAGTCAAACCATGTGCCATTTATTTTAAATGAACCAGCTATATGTACACTACCATTCAAACGTCTGGGGAGAGCAAAATAAATGCTGTTCTTTTGAACTATCTATTCATTAAATAATCCTCAAAAGTAAAATGTATCATGGTTTCCACAAAAATATTAAGCAGCACTACTGTTTTGAACAGTTATTAAAAAAAAAATTTTTTTGAACACCAACTCAGCATATTACAATTTTTTTCTGAAAGATTGTGTGACACCGAAGACTGGAGGAATGTCTTTGAAAATATTTTCAAAGAAAAGTTAATATAATATACATTATAAGATAACATAAGATATATTTTTTTTGATTAAATGACTGCTGCCTCAGTTAGCATAAGAGGATTTTCAAAAACATTTAAAAAATATTACAGATGCCAAGATGCAATGTATGTTTGAGTGATATTTTATCAAAAAAGTACCATATAGTTTTGTAGAACAAAATAAAAATTTTATACAAGCAAAAAACAAGCCAATGCACACAATAAAGACACCTTACCTGCAGCGCTTCCCAGGTCATGGTTGCTGGTTTTCTCCACGGCCTTAGTCTCCATGTGCTGCTCATAACTGAATTCAAAGCTAAAATATAAATAAATACAATCAGCAGTGGCAACAACGTCAAAAGCACTGAATTACTGATGTTGTTGAAACATCGCTCAGACTAACACAAGCTATGCTTATGTTAGTCTCCATCCACTTTCACATTCTGAAGCCATGATGAGGGACTTCATTTGTTTTGGTAGGTCTTGGTGAAAAGTGGCCTAGGGCCACACACGCAAACATTGAGTTTGGTGCAAGAGCAGCGCAAGGGCTGTAGGGTAACTCCATCACTCCGCCTCATGATACTCACCTGGAGTTTCCTACAGCAGCTGCTCTACCACAGACCTCCGGTACACTCTGCTCTTCTTTGGCTGAAAGAAAAAGTAGCGTTGTGAATGACCAAATACAGGAGGGTAAGATGGGACCCTTAAAATAACTGAAACAATCAGATTGTTCAGCATTTAGCAGAACTCGGCCACAAGCAGCAGAATGTATTGATACTCTACAAAAATGCACTGCATTTGCCCACTCAACAGCTGAGAAACAGCTGACTAAAGATAAAGGCTCGTTTAAAGGGGTCATATGATGTTGCTAAAAAGAACATTATTTTGTGTATTTGGTGTAATGAAATGTGTTTATGCAGTTTAAGGTTCACACCTGGAACGCACTGACGGACCGCAACCGCATGCAGTGTGAAAGCTCTAATCCGTTAAAATGGGTGCGTAAAAAAAACCGCAACGCACACACACTGCAGACGGAGTATGTGTGAAACAGGCGGGAGTATGTGTGAAACCGGTATACCGTCTTTTCACGCGTTGCGTTGCATCGCGTCGCGTAAACATAAAACCATGTCTGCATTTACGAGCCGTTTTAGGAAGGCGTGGTTGACTCTTAACTTTTATAAAGAATCTCTTTGGATTCGAGACTTTAGTCTTTGCAACTTTACAGATTTTTATGCACCAAGAGCTTGTAACACTTCAAAGAGAAAGGAAAAATTGAAATCGCATCATATGACCCCTTTAATGGGTACACCGTCAGTTTTTGTAATGATATAGTTCTATGTGACTTGTGCAGTTGTTTGTAAAATGATAAAACAATAGCCATTCAGGTTCAACACAGAATTCCACTAGGAAAAGGAAGCACACCTTTACCTCATTTGAACCAAGACTATTATTACTTCAAGATAAATTAAGTTTAATCTAAACACTGAGTCATGTTTAATTGTGAACTCTATTTGTTCTCTGTAATTTGTGCTTGACCTGGCAAAATGGACAAATGTTCATCTCAGGAATGCCAAATTTTTCCAAGCTCAAAATGTTAGTGTGGCTTAGTTGCTTACAAACGAATGGTCTGCATTCTAAAGATGGCAGTATGAGTGTATGTGTTCACTAAGAGGGCACTCGTTTCCAAATAAATCTCTGCCGTGCTCAGCATTAACATCCTTCACATAGTCTGCTTGACTTATAGCATGATTTTAACAACCCTCATTGGTAAACAAATATTTTCAGAGTAAGAAAAAGAACTCAGAGATATCACTTACAGTGAGACTCCTCAAACTGCTCCAGGAGGCTTGTAAAATCAGAAGCTTCAATACCTTAAAAAAAAAAAGAAAAAAGTTTATTATAAAACAATCCACAGAAATGATTACCTAACCACACATGAAAAATGCTCACCAATTTCACTTGTGAAGGACTCAATCAGCTCAACTGTGGTGTTCTTCAGTTTGGGGATCTCAGAGGAAGCCATCCTCATCTGCTCTGCCAGTTCAACAACTCTGGCCTGAACTTGAGCCGAGAAAAACGGCTGAGTGGCTATTGGTGCAATATGAGGCTGTGACCGTGAGGTCAGCTTTTTAGAATTAGTTGGCAGTGTGTTTTTGGCTTGATCAGACACAGGGGCCAAAACAACCTGCTCGGTCTCTCTTTTTGCAGGCACAGCAGCACTAGGTTTATGAGGGCTGGAGTTTGAGTTCTGAACTTGTGTAGTGATCATCTGAGGAATTTTGGATGGAGCAGCATTGGGGCTCCCATGTAAACATTCCTTATGACCTTGAGAGCCTCCAGATGTAGTAGACACTGGAAGTGAAACTGTCCTTTCAGGAGGCACCTCAGCCACATGTCTGATGGGGGCAGAGGTCTCAGTATTAATAGTGTTTTGTGGCACGCCGATGGGAGCAGGTAGTTTCCGGGGTGAGGGGTGGACTGATTGGGGTGAACTTTTAGATGTATCAGAAGGTGGAGCGGTTGGTTTAGAAGTTGCAGGTTTCTTAGAGAAAGCCATCAGTGAAGCCGGCGGGGTGAGCAAGGCTTCAGGCGTTGGGGGAGCAGCGGGGCCTCTCGGGTGCCATGCGGGCATGATTTCAGGTGCAAGGTCTTTTTTAACAGGAGTATGCATGGTTTTACGTGGATCTCTGAGGTTAGGGTCTGGCAGGCAGGGTATTGGGGGAAGCTCCTTGGGCGGTTCGGGCAACTTGGGCCATTTAGTGCTGTAATCCTCCGTTTTGTCCACCGGATCTGGTTTCTTTTGCTGGCGGAGGAGACGGTACTGCTGTAAACTGAGAGGTTTGGGCTTAGTTTCATTAGGCTGACAAGCAGCAGGCTGTTCGCTAACAGGCTCTAATTTTGAGGGTGGTTTTTGCTCCACAGACTTTTCAAGAGGTTTGTTCTCTGGCTGCGAGTCAGTGATTTCTGCTTCAGCTTGAGGGGTTGTGATATGCTCTTTCTCAACCTGCGGTTTAAGAGTCATCAAGTCTGTTGGACAATCAAGTTTAGGTTTTCCGAGCTCTGCCGATGAGAGCACAGGTGAGAAAGTCACCCTTTTCTTTTTTTGTTCTTCCTGGCATTTCTTCTGTGGCACCTCTTTAACTCTTGAGCTTCTCAAAACTCTCTGTTCAACCAGAGGGGCTTCAAGAAGTTTACATTTCTTTTTCCCTTTACATACCTTGACAACCTCTTTCTCCTCCTCCACGAAAGATACTTCAGAAGGAGCTGGGACTTTTTCAGCACTATCTTCAGGCTTTGGTTCTGGCTTGTCTATGGTATTCTCCGGTACTCTTTGTTCACCTTCTGCAGAGTATGTGTGAGAAAGAGGGATGCTCAGATCTGGGATTGCCAGGATGGGCTCTCCATGCTCTCCTTGATCAACCACTTCTAGCACAAGGCCCCTCTCAGGCAGAAGATGATCTTGTCCCTCTTCTCCTTCCACACATAATGTCATGCAGTAAGGGTGCATGTGCTTTACTAAATCACAGATAGTAACATGCATACTCTCTCCATCCTGCTCTAAGGACACAGGAAGGCACCAATCAAATTCATCCAGTGATGACAAATCAATATTAGCTATAGGGGTAGCGTCTCCATCCTCCTCCTCTTCTCCTTCACTGTTCTGCTGGGATAATCTCTGCATTCGTGGGAGACTCTATAAAACAAAACATAACATGTCTTACATTATGACTATCAAGTTAGGAACTGAAGGAAGTTTTGGCTGCTCATGCATGTGGGAACAACACGTGGCAACCATTTTCACAAACTTGTAATGAGAAGTGCTTAAAAGCTGGCTGTTGTCAATGAAAGACTCTTAATTCCCCATGCAGTTTTTCACCAAAATACAAGGTTGTATTTACAAGATACAAGATATCAGCATTGTATTTTGCTCTCATTTTCTTATATTCAATTATTTTATTTTACAGTAAAACACTACAATAGATAATATTAATCAAAAGAATTATTTTCTTTAATAAGTATCAAATAATTATTATTGACATTAATAATATTGATAAAAAATAATATTCCAAATTGTGTGGCCCTAGTTAAAACCTGTCATGCTGTCATCTAAACTGAATTAAAAATTCAGTCTAATGATACATTATATTTTGTTGTATTCCAAAAATAGATGAAAAAAGATTTAAGAACTTAAATACCTTCCCAGGAAACCGTCTTGTGTCAATCATTGACTCTGGAGGAGACCGTGTGATGAACTTTCTCAGCTAGAGTGGAAAAAAGAAAATTGATATCTGAAAATTCACTGAGCTGTTCTACAAAATGAAAAGAATAAACCACCAATGCATTCCTGACATGCTTAGATGGGTGAAGAGCAGCTGAAGACTCACCGGTGAGTGTTCCTGACCCTTCTGCCCTGAGAACAGATCTGAATCCGGCAGAGTGTCAAAAGGGGACAAGTTTTCATCATCAACATTGTCAAGTATTTCAGTGAGAGCTGTGAGCAGCGTCGCTTCACTTTCCTCATCAATATTACTTTTAACCTGAAACAGAGGAAACAAATGCCATTGCTGAGTGACATCAAAACAAGTGACATTCAACAATCAAAACATTGCGTTGAAAGCAATTCATGCAATAAACAAGTCTTCTGTTGACAGTTTATAAAAGGCTTTATTTACTCCTCTAGTGGGGCTGTCCTCAAAAATGGACAAAATAGAAGGATCCAGGCAGCCTTGTAAAGCCTCCAGAGCATCTCCATTGCTAAGGCCAGGATACTCCAGACAGCCGGCATTGAAGCTTTCCTGAAGCATCTCCACCTGCAAGAGAAGGAAAAACAGTTTAAAAGTTATGACTGTCTTTTCTTCTCTATTGCAATGTAAATCTGATTGAAACGACTTTTCAAACAAGAAAAAAAAATGTTTAGAGCAGGACTTTAAAAATTGACCATTTTTATTTTATGTAGACTTTGATGTTCGATTAGTATTAACATTTTAGATTAATACTTTCAGAATTACATATGCATCAGAAACCATAAACCACTGTAAGGCGGCGTATCCATTAGGTGAGGCTGTAAACAATTTCATGTTCCTATATTTAAAAAAGGACATTGCACAACTGCAAACAATGTGCTCTGTCTTTGAGGCTTGTAATTGCTGGCCTGTCCTGCAGCAGCTGATGTTATGGTCAGCTTTGGTGCTCACTGAATCATTTATTAACAGAACTCGTGTGAAATGTTGTTGATACTCAATTTTCTTTGTAGAATCGTTTTCATATTTCTCATGAAAAGCAAAAACACTAAGCCCTGAAGGCAGGCATAGACGAGCCATTTAAAATCGAACAAATCATCACAGGCCTAAATCTGAAATAGTGTTAAATACGAGAAACGCTAAATGTATTAAAAGTTTATGAATGCGTTCATTTGAAGTTACAACCACGTGTTGCGCACATCACGTCATCCTGCCGCAGTGCATTACTGGGCAAAGCCAATACAGGTGTAGTGCCGAAATTTGCACCCTGCCAGATTATGCACCCCCTAGTATTGGTAGGTTTAGGAGTAGGTGTGGGGGAGGGGTTTAGGAGTAGGGGTGGGGTTAGGATTAGGCAATCAGGTAGCGACTTCAACGAGGGGGTGCATAATCTGGCAGGGGTGCAGAATTCGGCACAACACCGGCACAGTTCAAAACACGCCTTGCTACCACAAATCCTGCATGTTACTTTCTTAAAAGCGATCAAGATTAAATCTCATCAGGCCAGTTTAATTATAATGAACCACTTTTGTTTGAGAACCTTAAACAGAGGCTGAACGAAAGGCTGCTGTCTGTCAGTAAACACACACGGCCCAACGCGACTGAGCCACTCATACCTGCAACACGTGCTGGACAGCGAATCAACGCAAACCGCAATGAACCACATGGGGCTAACTTTGATTCTCAGTCAAGACAATTCTAAATACGAAATTAAATGATGATAAATGCAACCAAACAGAGCAGAAATTATAAGTAAATATGCTAACATGAAAAAATAACATAAGTGACAAATGACATCTGTTGAAATACCGATCGTCATCTGTAATTTTAAGTTTATCAGGCCTAATGAACTAAAATAATTAACTACAGTTTCTGAGTTAAATGTTTAAGGTAAAATGTACGACCATGCACGAATACAAACGCTAGTTTCATTCTTAAAATGACTGAACCACGTGGAAGTGAGTCACTCGAACATGTAACAATCAAGCAAGCCATATCTGATCAATAAAGGAATATCTGTATTAGGGAGTCACTAATAAATAATGTCAAAATACATATGCATTAAATAAAATAGCCTTCTTCTTTAGATCTGACCCATGCAAACAGCTAACCATTCCTGGTTACAGATTATTCATCACCATATTAAAAACCAAAACAATGCGTTTATGGCTTACAAAATGCAAAACTACTTTTTTTTTTTAAGAGAGAGAGAAATGTATATGTAGTTGAATCACTGGTCTCTAACTTCATAAGAATACAGAAGCATGGCAAGTGGCAACATCATCTAACAGGACCAAACTTGTGCATTCCTTGACATGCGACTTCAGTATGGATACGCAAGAAATCTAACAGCACTTGGAAAGTGATAAATGTATCTTTTTCTGCGACCATTTAAAAAAAAAAAAATAAACTCACAGGTGTTTTAAGAGAACTGCAAAAGCTATATCACCATCACCATCCACGTGTCACAAAGTACTGCACATCATCGCGTATTTGCCTCGGCTATTTGACACAGTGATAAATGTCAACAATTTAATTCTGGTGCAGCAATATATAAGTATCAAGATGTGCCATTCTTACCTCGTCAAGATTCACCGGTGAGAACATTTGAGTATTACAGGCTTTTAACATCTCCTCGCCTGTTCCCCATCGCGCCGCCATCTTACAACTCGACTGTGTGGAAAAACGTGAATCAACTGCAGGCGCAGCAGCCGGCGACAAGCCACGTGCTATTCGCGTTAGCCCCGCCCCCAGGAGGCGTCATCGGACCCAGCGTTGGTTATTAGGGGGTAAGGAACTTTAGTACAACTTTTTTTTTATTTTTTAGCACAACGTTTTTTTCTTTTCTTGTTTGTTAATTATCGTCTTCTAATATATAAACGTTTGTTCAGTATAATGAAATTGAAGAAGTGTGGTTTGAATCAGTGTATTTGATGTGTTATGTTTTATTCTGAACACAATGTTTACTCAGTATATTGGGAAAATATGGGACCTTTTGAACCAGTGTCAAATGGCTTCTGCGGGTTATCAAATAGGGAAGAAAGAGACATAAAAGATACATTCAAATATACGCAACATGTATAAAGAATATGTTGGCATACTTTGACCGATCACAATTAACCTCCTGTATCCATTTTATAACGACTATAAAATATAGAACCATACATAGACTTTTAATAAATAAATAATAAAAAACATAAACATTGCATTAGAAGACACACTTCCTTAAAACAACTGAACTATAACCTATAATATTATATAGATTGATACATACATAGATTATAGTTTGTAGATTTAGTTGTTTTTAATAAAGTTTGTCTTGTAATGCAATATATGCTACATATTCTGCAAAAATTTAGATCGGAGTATTTTTCAGACCACTGACCACTGAAAAATTCACTTTTGCAGTGACATAGCTCTGGCCAGCAGATGTCCTCAGTGTGCGTTATTGTGAGCTCTTCCAAACAGATTTTGTGAAGCAGTTTGGTTAGTTATGTTAGTATACTATACAATGATTTTATATACTTTGGATACATGCATGTCATGTAATGTTAGAGAGTCGGACTTATAACCCGAAGGTTGCGGGTTCGAGTCTCAGGTCCGGACACCGGCAGAAATAGGCGGTGGAGGGAGTAAATAACCAGCAGCGCTCTCTTCCACCCTCAATACTAGGTGAGACCCTTGAGCAAGGCACCGAACCGCCCACTGCTCCGGGTGTGTGTGTGTGTGTGCACTTGGATGGGTCACCATACTTGGCCACAGGTCACTTCACGGTTCTATTAGGTAAACACTTTATTTATTTAAGGTTAAGAGAATGAAGAATATTATTATTATTATTATTATTGTGTTTTTTTCTGTTAAGTAGAAAAATATTTATGTTCTCACCACAGGTGAAGTTTCGAGCCTAAAAGCTCTTCATCAGACAATGAACAAATACACAGCTCAGCCCTTATATACAGCACAAACCTAAATCACATGATCACACACACACACACACACACACACACACACACACACACACGTGTGTGTGTGTGTGTGTGTGTGTGTGTGTACACACACACACACACAAAAGGGCAATCAACAAATCACATCACATAAGGGCAATAAACATAAAAGTGAAAACAACGATTGACTGAAAACACTAACCATATATATATCAAGAAATACCTGACTCAAAAAAAAAAATTCATAAAATCAAAAATCAATCAAAGAATACCTACTTGCAAGAAACCAACAGTTTTCAAAAATTACCAACACCAAGACAAAATATCAATATATATCAAAATATCAAATATAGGCTAATGTAATCAAATAGATCAATGTCTTAATTAGAGAAAAGGATGAATATCAAACTCTTCGTTAAGACTGTTGTAAATCCAATATGCTTCACGTTTTAAAAGTAAGGTATTAATATCACTACCTCTTCGAGGTAATTTAACAGCTTCAGTGCCAATGTACTGTAGAGTTGAAATAGAATGTCTAAACTTCAAAGTGTTGTGCTATTGGACATGATACCTAATTGCACTTTGATGTTAAGCAATTCTGTTTTTATGTAAACATAAGTGAAGCTGCTTCTCAAAGACCCACATTCAGTTGTTAGATATAATCTCACAACTGCGAGATATAAACTTGCAATTCTAAGAAGAATAGTCTTATTGTAAGTTTAACAAAACGTCTGAATTGTCATATTTAAAATTATATATATATATTTTATTATTATTATTATTATTATTATTATTATTATTATGTGGTGGAAATAAACTTCCATAGTTTATAGTGAAATAAAGTGTATAATATTCGGCTCATCATGTGATCTCAATATGTCGGCCCCCATGAGGCGACTCACTTCAGTGTAAAATAAAACAGCTTTTATTAGGCTGCTGAGATAAATCAAGATCAAAATTCATATTGATTTTTAGGTGTAAAGCTGTTTAAAAGAAGAAAAACTGAGAGCACCATTAAATAATACAGTCCTAAATTAGTTATTAATTAAGTTATTAAAATGAATTAAAACGGCTCGTTCTAACACGCCCCCACATATCTACGTCACAATGTGGGAAGATTTGCATAACGCCGCCCAAATGTTCACGCAAAGAAAGAAGGCGTACTTTTATTCTCGCTGTAGTATTGTTGTTGCCGCCGCCGCCATGCCGTGAAGGCGCTGTGTGTTTCGTTGTGAAAGCAAAACTACTTTGTTTGGCCTTCCAAAAGAGGACGATATCCGCTTCGTCATGCCTGGAGCTGATCCGTGCTGGTCGCTGAGGAAATACATCAACTTTGCGCTGTGGATCGCCAGATCGGCTTTCACCGTGGACGAAGCGGAGTCCAGCCCAGAGTCGTCAGATGTTGTTGCCACAAGCCCGCCAGCCACCGCTCAATCTAGCCGGCCACGCCGTTTTCAAGCCCGTCTGCCTCTGCTCACTCAAGCCGGCCTCCGCTCACTCTAGGCCGCAGTGTGTGACGCTGTTTCGTTGTGAAAGTGAAACTACTTTGTTTGGCCCTCCAAACGAGGACACAACTAGAAATCAGTGGTTAAGTTGTATTTACAACACTGTTCCAGAACAGTTTGTGGAAAATAATGTGTTTTTTAACCTTAAACCGCATAAACACATTTCATTACACCAAATACACAAAATAATGTTCTTTTTAGCAGCATCATATGACCCCTTTAAAGCTGTGCTGTCCTCCTTCTATTCCTGCTTTATTCCTCGCAGCTACCCGACTGTACTGAAAATCATTCATCCACTACCACTGTTACCATGGCAACAAGAGGGGAAATCCATTTCATCAGCCTCTTCGTCACACTCCCTCCTTCCATCCCTTCTCTCTCTCTCTCTCTCTCTCTCTCTCTCTCTCTCTCTCTCATTCCCTTCCTGCCATCATTTTCTTTATCTCTCTTTGCCATCTCTTGTTATTCTTCTTTCGTCCTGTCTTACTCAGAGGATAGACAGGCAGCAGAAGATGCAGTGCCTTCCTCAATAAACAAGAGCACAGCTATATAGCATCAAACTGTTATAACTTGTACTATAGATTCAAACTGCTTTGTTTTTGGTTGCATCATGCTGTGTCATCTGTTTTATTGACCGCAGTCTGATATCTTCGTGACACTTTTGTTCTATGTACTAGTTATTAATCATTTGCCCTTTGCACATCAGAATGTTTCGCATTGTAACTCTTACGTCCTTTCTATTTAGTTAAGGTATCATTTCAGTTACAGTGATTAAGCTTTTTTTCTTCAAACCTACATTTTTCTGTCTTATAACTTTTACAGCTTGTGTTGAGATCAGGGTGATAGTGGCTTCACTGACATCCTCATGGTAATCCCATGGGGCAGTGGGGCAGGCCAGCAGCTACTGGGGACACCAGATGGCCTCAAATTAGAATTGAAATCATGCACACTCACGCACATACACATATTCTCTCTCAGTCTCAACGCATCTTAAACTCTAAATAATAATTGGTTATTTCACTGAGTGAGCCTTTCGTGGTGATGCTGATGGATGGGAGTATTAATGTAATTATGTTTTAGTGAGTAATCCGAAGGGTTAACTCCGTGAGATGATTCCATTAGTACACATAATGAATCTCTATAATCAGATCATTGATAAATTAATTCCATTATATTCTTCTAAAGCTGATCGGCCCAACAAATGCTCCTGCTCACAATGGCTGACCAAAAATCACTCCACTTTTAATTAACATTTTGTTTTTAAATTATTATGCCCATCCATCTACTGAAAACGGGCTCCCGTAAAAAAACAAAAAACAATGCAGGTTTAACTTGAAAAATACTGGTTTGATGCTATTTGAGCATGTTCACCAGTGGATAGTATGATTAATCAGCATTGACTTTGGCTGAACAAGGAAGTCAAGCATATCAAGGATATTAGGAATCCTGGTGACCAGCACAGCAGCATCCCAGTGCTGAAGACCAGCATCCAAAACACAACATATGCTGGTGACCTGCAATACTTAGCTTGCAATTAGCCAATGGGGATCCCAAAGTGCCAAACCTAGGCTCAGTCATCTCAAGGGACACTGACAGAGTAACTGTTTTACTTTCCAAATACAGACTAGCGTGAGTTACACACACATCTGTAATCCTGTAATACATTACCACCTCAACCTCCACTGTAACCGTGTGTATGTGTGTGTTTATTGAAGGGTTGCCAGTTGCAATTGCTTTTTTAATCTTCTGTCACTCTAATGTCGTGAGACTGAAGATTAAGCTTTTGATTACAGGAGCTCGGGCTGTGTGTGTGAGTGCACAATGACTCTGAGAGGGAGGGTTTCTCTCTCTTTCTTTTTAGACACACATACACATGCTTTGGGGGAGGGGCAGCTGTGGATATCATCTGTGTTCCTTGTCAGCTCGGTGCAAGAACCTCTGTGCTGCGCTGCACATGCATGCACAGGAGCCAGAGAGCAGAAACAACACATTGCTGCACATCAGCATCAATGCACTTGAATCTGACTAAAAGCCGTCAAAATGGTCTGACTGGGGAGGCAGCAGGTAAATAATCTTGTTTTTCTTTTTAAACAATGTCTTTGTGAGTGTTTGGGAGCAAGAGGAAGTGGCTTTCAGCTGGCTTCCTGAGCGATTCCACTAGTTGATGGGTGGAGCGAGAGGAAGGCTGTCAGCTGGGGTGGTGTGTGTGTGTATGTGTGGGTGCCAGCGTGTCAGAACAAGGAGTGTATGTGTGCTACTGTTACATACAG